CAGTGACCTCGGTTTCCCAGTGTGAGCACCATCCCCAGTGATCTCGGTTTCCCAGTGTGAGTGCTGTCCCTGGTGATCTCAGTTTCCCAATGTGAGCGCCGTCCCTGGTGATTCCACAGTGTCTCACTGGCTCAATGAAGATGCTAGGCTGAGATTCTTTATGGTGCCCTTGTAGAACTGTAGCATCTGCCTAATTAACCTGCTGTTTAGAAGAGACTGTGTTTTTGGGAGGTCAGTATATTGATTTGGGAACTATTTGGGATGTTTTCTTTGGGACTGTCACTCACAAGGTAACCAAAGTGTCAGGGTTACTTTATCCACAGGTACCTAAACAATGTTGATAATTTGCTGTCTGGTCTGCTGCTGCCCCTTGGGAAAAGCTGAGAATACCTTTAGGAAAAGGCGCCTTTGAACAGCTCTGCAGTCATGTGGCATAGAGGATGCTAGAAGCCATTGGGTTTACTTTCCTTCCTGGGCAGCACAGTGACTCTTTTGTTTCTGAAGAGTGACCAGTTTCAGGTTCTGCCATGCAACAGGCTGAACTTATTTGGATGCCGGGGGAATCTTTGTTTCCCTGTTCTCTGTGAGTTGTAGGCTGACTTTCACAAGAATGACTAGGAAATCAGCTGGGCATGGTGGCTCACACCTATGATTCTAGCACTTTGGGAGGCCGAAATGGGCAGATCACTTGAGTCCAGGAGTTTGAGACTAGCCTGGGCAACATGGCAAAAAACTCCATCTGTACAAAAAATAGAAGAATTAGCTGGGCGTGGAGGTGCACATCTATAGTCCCAGCTACTCAGGAGGCTGAGAGAAGGGAGGATTGCCTGAGCCCTGGAGGTTCAGGCCGCAGTGAGCCTTGATTGCACCACTGTACTCCAGTCTGCGTACAGTGGTGCAGTCAAGACTCACTGCAGCCTCAGCCTCCAGGTTCCTAGCCATTCCTTTATTTACTAGGAAATCTTGGTGGTTCAGCACATATATTTGCTCTGCTGACAGTTACCAGTTGAGCTACCTCTTTATAGTAGGAACTTTTCATGTTTAGAAGAGGACAGAGTTTAAAAGAATGAAGCTAAAGATATAGTCTTTTAAGTCTGTTGACTTCTTTCTAGTGTACTGTTTAAGTAATTGATTATAAGGACTACAATTCACGTCTTACCCTAAAAATGCATGGGATTGAGGTTTGGGTCTATAGAGACTATCAGCGATGTCTGTAAGGGAATAGTTGGATCTTTCATCCGGGTCATTGATAGCCACTTCAAAAACTGCTGTTGGAAACATTGGCATTTATATGCAGAGGCATATCCTTCTGCTCCAGGATTAAGCATACCTCTAACCCAGAGCCACCTGTAAAGTCAGCTAACACTGTAAGACGGTTGTTGTGGAATAATCAGTACTGGTGAGGATACAGAATCATCTTGTATGGGCCGCCAGCCCCACCCTCCTATTTCACAGCTGTTGCAAGTTGTGACCCACAGAGAGGAAGTGACGGGATTACCTAGCTCACTGTAACTTAGCCGGGTCTAGTCTGTCTCAAGAGGTGACTTTGAAGATGAAGACCATGGCAAGGAGGCGTACAAATCAGAGACTGGGAATTTTTCCTCTTTTTTTGCCTGGTGATACCAAGTGCCATCATAGGCCCTGGTTCTCCTTTCTGCCACTCCGGTGACTCCTTTCGGAGTCAGCAAGAATACGGAGTAGGGAATAGCTTGGGCCACAGGCAGAGCCAAGCCCATCAGTGTCACTGAGATGGTCAGTAGCCCTGAGAATGTGACTGAGTGCTCTGGCTGGGTGGCGGGGGGTGGGCCTTCCCCTCAGGAGTCCCTGTGGCTTAGCAGGGAACGGGTGCTGTCTGTGTGCTTCCATGAAGAGGGCAGGAGCAGAGGGGCCTGAGCCTCTGGAAGCGGTCTGGGGACCTGGCACCATAGGAGACTGTGTGCTGGTTCATGACGTGGGAGTCACAGGATGCTCAGAGGTGCCATTTTATTCTTTTCTCCCATGTCAAAGTTCACACTCGGGGAATGTTTCCCATTGCCTGGGGGGCAGCTCTAGATGAATTGCCCTGGTTCTGAATGGAGGTGGGGGCAGTTCCAGTAATAGCCTCATCTGGGCCATTTCTGGACCCCTTGAGAACTGACCAAAAAGGCTACAAACCCACCTATAAGAGTGGTTTACAAAGTTCTGAAGATACTGGAAAAACCTTGGAAAGTATTTGGAATAAGGTGTAATTGTAACCATGCCACAGAAAAACAGACTTTTTTGGGTTGTGCCTATCCCCTCATTCGAAAAAAACATCTCAGCAGTTGCCAGACACTCATTAGTAGCCAAAGAAATTGCGGTTTTGAGCTGTTCGCTCTTTCTAGAAACTTCATAACATTAATTCTGAAGGAACAGGGTAGAGACCAAGAGTGGAAGTGTGCTCTTCAGTGATACTTATAGCAAGCAGACAGTTATTTGCCTCAGGCTCAGGAAGTCCAGTGGGGCCAGAGAGTCTCATGCCACTCCAGCTCTGCAAGGCTGGCCTGGCGGTGCAGGGCGGCCACCTACGTCGGGCAGCTGGTGGGGGACGCAGAGAGGGTGGGATTGACTGCAGGGCGGGATCCTGGCTGCTGCTTTCTGCTCTTGCATTCCAGTGGACAAACAGTTCTTGAGCTCCTAGTGTACACGCAGCCACTAGGCCTGAGCCTCCCCTTTCTAACTGGTTTTCCCCGCAGTTCCGTTTTCATACTCACAAACTTCTGAACCTGAATTGACATTCAGTGGCCCTCACTTTCCTTTAGCAGTTCATTTTGTCACTTGGCTCTTTGTTTTTGTTTGTAGAAAACATTCTTTTCACTCATTTGTTTAAAAACTTAGGAGCAGGCCAGGCACTGTGGCTCACGCCTATAATCCCAGCACTTTGGGAGGCTGAGGCGGGTGGATCACGAGGTCAAGAGATCGAGACCATTCCTGGTCAACATGGTGAAACTCCGTCTCTACTAAAACTACAAAAAATTAGCTGGGCATGGTGGCGCGTGCCTGTAGTCCCAGCTACTCAGGAGGCTGAGGCAGGAGAATTGCCTGAACCCAGGAGGCGGAGGTTGCGGTGAGCCGAGATCGCGCCATTTGCCCCCAGCCTGGGGAAAAAGAGGGAAACCCTGTCCCCATAAAAAAAAAAAAAAAAAAAAACTTAGGAGCTTGTAGGTTTCTGGGTTAACAAAAACCCCAAACACTGCAACAATGTGGATGGAACTGGAGGACATTATGTTGAATGAAATAAGCCAGACACAAGAAGACAAATATCTCCTGTTCTCACTTATCAGTGGGGGCCAAACATTGAAAAAGTCAGCTCATGGAGATAGACAGTGGAATGGTGGTCGCCATGGCTGGGAGGCGCAGCTGGGAGCTGGGGACACAGTGGGGTTGGCTGGTGGGTACACATGCCGTTAGAATGCTGAGAGCTGGGGACACAGTGGGGATGGCTGGTGGGTACACATTCAGTTAGGATGATGAGAGCTGGGGACACAGTGGGGATGGCTGGTGGGTACACGTGCAGTTAGGATGATGAGAGCTGGGGACACAGTGGGGATGGCTGGTGGGTACACGTGCCGTTAGGATGATGAGAGCTGGGGACACAGCGGGGATGGCTGGTGGGTACACATGCAGTTAGGATGATGAGAGCTGGGGACACAACCGGGATGGCTGGTGGGTACACATGCTGTTAGGTTGATTAGAGCTGGGATTTGGTAGAACAGTGGGGTGACTACAGTTAACAGTCATTTATCGTATATTTAAAAATAACCGAAAGATTGGAATTGGAATGTTCCTAACACAGAGAAGTAACACATAACTTGGGGTGATGGATACCCATTACCCTGATTTGATTATTATATGTCCTATGCCTATATCAAAACTTCACAAGTACCCCATAAGTATATGCAGTGATTACATACCCCTAGTAATTTTTTTTGTCACTTAACATACCTCAGACATAATAATTTTTAAAAAAACACCCTAAAACACCATAGAGCCCTCTTCATATTCTGTACTCCAAGGAGTAGGAGAACAGTTATATCAGCAATCCAAAATGGATTTATATTTTTTTGTCATTTGTTAGTGTTTTGTTTTGTTTTAGAGCCAAGGTCTTGCTCTGTCACCCAGGCTGGAGTGCTGTGGTCTGATCATAGCTCAGTGTATCCTCAAAGTCCTGGGCTCCAGAGATCCCACCACCTCAGCCTCCCGAGTACAGGTGTGTGCTGCCACACCTGGGTACTTTTTATTTTAGTTTGTTTTTTGTAGAGACTGGATCTCTCTGTGTTGCCCAGGCTGGTCTTGAAGTCCTGGCCTCAAGTGATCCTCTCACCTCAGCCTTCCACATGCTGGGATTCCAGGCATGAGCCACTGCACCCAGCTAGATTTATATTTGATTTGGATGTGATACTGTAACATTTTCCCACAGCATAACTACCCCCTAATAGAATTGTAGAAAAATTAACACAACCTCAGGTAAAGGGTTGGCCTAGAACAATTTTGGGGATGTAGAAAATTCACCCTGAGAATACCTTGGAGAATACCTTGGATGCCTGAGTCTGCTCATCAACCTGCCACTCGGCTAGCGTGCGACCTCTCACCTCGTGCATGTCCCTGTACCCTTCCTGGCCTTTAACTGGCTACTCACCTAGCGTGCAACCTCTCACCTCGTGCACGTCTCTGTACCCTTCCTGGCCTCTCTCTAACCTAGCGTGTGACCTCTCACCTCGTGCACATCTCTGTACCCTTCCTGGCCTCTCTCTAACCTGCCAGTCACCTAGCATGGACCTCTCACCTTGTGCACGTTTCTGTACCCTTCCTGGCCTCTCTCTAACCTGCCGCTCAGCTAGTGTGCGACCTCTCACCTCGTGCATGTCTCTGTACCCTTCCTGGCCTCTCTCTAAAGACTTTAGCTGTTCGACCCTGTGGATCGGTGCACAGCTACTTCAGGATATCATGCCAGATGATGATATGTTCTCTCTCCCTCACAGAGTGAAGGCTGCGCAGACTGAGTTAGGACAGCAAATCCTGGCCGATTTTGAAGAAGCATTTCCTTCCCAGGGCACTAAGGTACAGCTTTGCATTTCCCCCAGTCTTCAGAGGTGATCACTGCCCTTGCTGTGTTCACACTCCCACAGTCACATGCGGGTTAATTCCTGTCGTGTTTGCTGGCGGCGGCAGAGCTTTCTGCTGCAGGTTCAGGGCAATGAGACCATCCCTGATTTTAAATGTCCCAAAGTGGTGGCCGTTCCTCGTTTGTTTCCCGCCAGCGTCAGAAAGTGAGGATTTGTTTGGGCTTAATTTAATGCACGTTAAACCTTCTATCGTGTCTGCCCTGTCAATTCTTTTTTCTCATGGCTGTATTTTTTAGAAATCTTCATGCCGCAGTGTTTTTTAGGATTGTTACATAACTTAGTGGTTTTGGTCTGGTGAAAAGACAACTGGGAGGAGCATCCACCGGCTTATGTAACTCTGGGAGTGACACGGTTAGGGCCTCACTGTTAATGATCATCAGCCTGTCCTTTGGAATTAGTGCCCTTGAGCTCTCACTGGTAGCAGAGCTGTTTGCGTGGTGTCTGCAGAGCCCACAGCATTTCACTTGTGAGTGCTTGGTTGCACTTCTCACGTACCCAGCTTTCTCTCACTCAGCTGTCATCGTGCTTGGGTAACTGGTTTTAGCTCCACCTTTCTAACTGTAGCAGATGCCATCTTAATGCCTAGCATGTGTCGGACAGGTAAGAACGCATACAGGCTTTCTTCTCTGTCATTTGAGCTATAGAGAGAATTGTTCAAGGCAGACATACACTGAAGCACACAGGGGCAAGGAGCTTTCCTCGCCCTCCCTGACAGGTGGAGATGGGGATATACGTTCCTTTACTGATCCAAGGAACGTTTCCTGCATCTGCTCTGTAATTCAATAATTGGAAATACTGAATCCTTTTTCCTTTGTGCTCCATGAAAGAAACGTAGGAAGCAGATGGGAGTAACTGTCTCAGCCTTTGCAGATCGCCTTCTCTAGGAAGCCCGCTCCTGATTTGAATGTCTTCACACTCTGCAGTTGTCTGCTGGTGATTAGATGCTTATTTGTAAAGCACTTTTCCTTGAGAACCTTGCATACCCTAGTCATCTGATACAACTGCAGGGAGGGAGTAGATCTTGGAAAGCGATTTATCCTATTTCCTACATGAGGAAAATGAAGGTCAAAGACATAAAAAGGGATTGTGGGGATATTCACAGGCGTTCAACACCAGCCTCACCAACATGGAGAAACCCCGTCTCTACTAAAAATACAAAATTAGGATGTGGTGGCACATATTTGTAATCCCAGCTACTTGGGAGGCTGAGACAGGAGAATCACTTGAACCTGGAAGGCGGAGGTTGCAGTGAGCCAAGATCGTGCCACTACACTCCAGCCTGGGTGACAGAGCGAAACTCCATCTCAAAAAAGAGATGCAGGGAGCTCTTGTTAGGACAGGGTTAGCTTCACGTGTACTCAGCTGTCCATTTCAGTGTTTTTTTTTTTCTTTTTGTGATGGAGTTTTGCTCTTTCACCCATGCTGGGGTGAAGCGGCATGATCTTGGCTCACTGCAACCTCTGGCCCCCTACCCCTGCCCCGGTTTAAGCGTTTCTCCTGCTCAGCCTCCCGAGTAGCTGGGATTACAGGTGCCTGCCACTATGCCTGAGTGTTGTTGTTTTTTTTTTTTTGAGACGGAGTTTCGCTCTTGTTACCCAGGCTGGAGTGCAATGGCGCGATCTCGGCTCACCGCAACCTCCGCCTCCTGGGTTCAGGCAATTCTCCTGCCTCAGCCTCCTGAGTAGCTGGGATTACAGGCACGCACCACCATGCCCAGCTAATTTTTTGTATTTTTAGTAGAGACGGGGTTTCACCATGTTGACCAGGATGGTCTTGATCTCTTGACCTCGTGATCCACCCGCCTCGGCCTCCCAAAGTGCTGGGATTACAGGCTTGAGCCACCGCGCCCGGCCGAGTGTTCTTTTTTTGAGACAGAACCTTGCTTCATCGCCAGGCTGGAGTGCAATGGTGTGATCTCAGCTCACTACAATCTCCGCTTCCCGGGTTCAAGTGATTCTCCTGCCTCAGCCTCCCGAGTAGCTGGGACTACAGGTGCTACAGGTCTAT